TTTGATACAATGTCAGTCCTTTACGGACCTACAAAAACTGATTCAGCAGACTTGACGCTCAAGAAAAAGACCGTCTACACCTACGTAAATGTGTCCGAAAGAACGATGGGGGCGACAACGGCAGTGGTAGTGCCATATCTACGATTTGCTGCTACTGATATCGAATGGATTGCTGGGAATGCCTGGGACGAAATTCACTGCAAATGTAGCACTGAACGAAAGCACTGAACGAGAAGTTTGGCCTGAGCCCATGCTCTGCACTTATTTTTTCGATCTCGGATTCTTGCCATTCTTTGCGCTGCCTCTCAGCTACTTAAAATTCCTGGAATAAAAAAGAAATGATTTCTCGCGGCCACGCCCCGCAGGACTACACTTCGGAAATGGGCAATGCTTATTTTGATAACTATTTTTACACCACTAATTATTTTTCTATCATCTCAGGAACCAAACAAAATCGTGTGCTGAATTTTGCAGAGATATTCTCTGTGCATGTGTGAGTAAAGATTTCAAATTTAGCTCCTTGATGTATCTACTTGTCACGTACGGGCAAGTGAAAGTTTCGTCGGAAGAACTGCTAACTCGGGAACCAGAAAAGCTAAAAAGCAGAGATTTTGAGAGAATGTTACCTGTCTAAGTGCAACATAAATATTTCAAACACAGCTTCCAGGAATGCACGGTTCTTACGTGTGGGCACTTAAAAGTTTTGGTAGAAGAATTACTCTCTGAATAGCTAGGTTATTTTTAAAGAGCGACCGTTAAACGGAAATTGTTCATTCCCTTTATGCAAAATTTACGATGATTTACGCTACTGAGAGCAAAAGATCGATCAAAGCAACAATCATTCATTCAGTTAACGACCTTAGTACTTCAAATCTGGTGCAAAAACACATAATCGTACCGGTAAGACTGGTGCCTTCCAGCCTGGGCTTCTTAATAGCTCCCCGTCCAGAAAAACCTTGGTTACGCTTTCGCTATGTAGAAATTCAACTATGTGTGTGCTGAGCACCACCTTCTTGTTTTCAATCACTGGACCTCCCAAACCAAGTTAAAGTGCTTTGCTGCCTGGGGAGATTGCAGTCATGCTGAATTACTAATTACCACTGCAGGTACCAAAAACGCGACCTGGAATTTGCATATCGGATACGCTGCAACGAGCATTGATGCGCTGGCAGCGTGTACTCGGAATACGACGATCGGCGGAAGCAAACAAGCACAGTGTTGTGAAACCAGCATCAATACCGTCACCATTCGTCGTCAAAAGGACTGCTTGGATGTAACCGGTGCCAATATCTTATCAGAGTGGAAATTCTTTCTCTGTAAAAAAAAATAACTCGGCTGTCGGGCTTCGCTGTTGCATAACTGTATCGTTGTATTGCCAGAGAAGCTAGGATTTCTTCAGCTGGTTTTAGAAATTCCCAAGATTCTCCCTCCAACAAGCACATTGGCAAACATTTTATTTTATTTAATACTTTTTGCTTCGGAAACCATCTCATGCTTTTGTTCTATCAGGTGTGTTTTTTCCAGCTACTTTGACCAATAATGCGTCGCTTACTGGTCACCTTCCCGGCGACTCACGTTCGTTCTGCGTTTTGAAGAGATTATCAGCTGCAGCATATTGTTACCATTAGCAGTTATCAAAAAATAGCTGTATTGTAAAGTCTGTCTGCTTTAAAAAAAAGCATTGAAAAATCAAATCAAAAAAACGGAATCAAACATTAGTTTTTGGTAAGTAAGAATTAATCAAGGGCTTGAGTCCGCCGTTGTAGCACCCACCCTCTCTATTGTTCGATCATTTGTTTCAATGGTAAATTGGTGCTGGTTCATGCCAAAGAGCCAAGTTCATCAGCTTGCTTGAAAGCATTCCTAGAAAGGGGTAATCATCGATAGCCTTATCAGCAATAGCTGTTGACGATATCTGCTATAACTCAGGCTACATCCCGGTTTTCTTCGTTTTCTGTTAAAGCGAATATGCAAAGGGTTTTGACTCTTGCCTTTGATGAACCATTCGGTTTTAAAATTCATCAAAATGTATGTTCTTCACTCTTCAGGTTTTGAAATCACAATAAAAACGCCACTTGTTTAAAATTTTTTTCACAAAAAAATCCAGAACGCATACACTTTACAGGTTTACACGCTCTCAGAAAACTATCCAGTGAGAACGATGCAAACAGGAACACGTTCTATCGACATAAAAGTGCTGTAGCGGTCACTTCAAAATACACTGCTTTAAGCAGTGTTGAGTAACACTTTGCGAAGTTTAAGCAATTTGTATAGTTAAAATTCTAAGGCTATTCCCATTTTTGCAATAGTGTCCCCTTCACGCTTTCTTCTCCAAGAGCACTACTAAACAAAATAGATTTTTCATAATTTTGCCCTGAATTTTCTGATAACGTTCGTGATTGAACGTAGCAGTAAATACAATTGTAATTAAAGCTGAATAATGGAATATCAATATTTACTGAATAGTTACAAATATTTCTTTTGAGCGAAATAGAAAAATGGGATTAATTTACAATAAAAAGAACAAAGGCTGGAACGCACCAGGCGAGCCGATGCGATCATGCGTTTTTGCATCAAAACTAAAATAAAAGTACTGCCTGAGCGTTCGTTTCCAAACGT